ACTGTTTTAAAGTTATTTAATGCCTAAATGGTTAAGGAAAGAGATAATAATATTTCAAACACGTATTTTAAACTATTTCCATGCGAAAAATGCGAGGCTCCCAGATGTGCCACTAAGTTTTCAGGCTATATCCATAGGGACGTTTGCATAGACGACCCCTTGTAGTAAAGGGAAGCTATATAGTTTCCAAGAAAGGATATAGAGCGACTGTTTTAAAGTTATTTAATGCCTAAATGGTTAAGGAAAGAGATAATAATATTTCAAACCCGTATTTTAAACTATTTCCATGCGAAAGATTCGAGGCTCCCAGATGTGCCACTAAGTTTTCAGGCTATATCCATAGGGACGTTTGTATAGACGACCCCTTGTAGTAAAGGGAAGCTATATAGTTTCCAAGAAAGGATATAGAGCGACTGTTTTAAAGTTATTTAATGCCTAAATGGTTAAGGAAAGAGATAATAATATTTCAAACCCGTATTTTAAACTATTTCCATGCGAAAAATGCGAGGCTCCCAGATGTGCCACTAAGTTTTCAGGCTATTTCCATTCGGACGTTTGTTTAGACAACCCCCCGTGGTAAAGGGAAGCTATATAGTTTTCACCAGGTGGTATAGAGCGACTGTTTTAAAGTTATTTAATGCCTAAATGGTTAAGGAAAGAGATAATAATATTTCAAACACGTATTTTAAACTATTTCCATGCGAAAAATGCGAGGCTCCCAGATGTGCCACTAAGTTTTCAGGCTATATCCATAGGGACGTTTGTATAGACGACCCCTTGTAGTAAAGGGAAGCTATATAGTTTCCAAGAAAGGATATAGAGCGACTGTTTTAAAGTTATTTAATGCCTAAATGGTTAAGGAAAGAGATAATAATATTTCAAACCCGTATTTTAAACTATTTCCATGCGAAAAATGCGAGGCTCCCAGATGTGCCACTAAGTTTTCAGGCTATTTCCATTCGGACGTTTGTAGACGACCCCCTGTGTTAAAGAGAAGCGATATAGTTTCCGAGACAGGATATAGAGCTACACCTTTTACTTCATTTTATGCCTAAATGGTGAAGTAAAGATATAATAATATTTTAAACCCGTATATTAAACTATTTCCATGCGAAAAATGCGAGGCTCCCAGATGTGCCACTAAGTTTTCAGGCTTTTTCCATAGGGACGTTTGCATAGACAACGCCCTGTGTTAAAGAGAAGCAATATTGTTTCCAAATGGGGGTATAGAGGGTCTGTTTTAGAGTTATTTTATGCCTCAGTTGTTCAGAAAAGAGAAAATAATATTTCAAACACTTTTTTCAAACTATTTCCATGCGAAACATGCGAGGCTCCCAGATGTGCCACTAAGTTTTCAGGCTAATTCCATTCGGACGTTTGTAATAGACGACCCTCTGTGTTAAAGGGAAGCTATAAAGTTTCCAAAAGGGGATATAGAGCGACTGTTTTCAAGTTATTGTATGCCTAAATGGTTAAGGAAAGAGATAATAATATTTCAAACCCGTATTTTAAACTATTTCCATGCGAAAAATGCGAGGCTCCCAGATGTGCCACTAAGTCTTCAGGCTATTTCCATACGGACGTTTCCATAGACAACCCCTAGTGGTAAAGGGAAGCTATATAGTTTCCAAAAGGGGGTATAGAGCGACTGTTTTAAAGTTATTTTATGCCTAAATTGTTTAGGAAAGAGATAATAATATTTCAAACAAGTATTTTAAACTATTTCCATGCGAAACATGCGAGGCTCCCAGATGTGCCACTAAGTTTTCAGGCTCTTTTCCAATGGGACGTTTGTATAGACGACCCCCTGTGTTAAAGGGAAGCTACATAGTTTCCGAGACAGGATATAGAGCTACTCCTTTTACCTCATTTTATGCCTAAATGTTTAAGTAAAAAGATAATAATATTTCAAACCTGTATTTGAAACTATTTCCATGCGATTCATGCGAGGCTTCCAGATGTGCTACGAAATTTTCAGGCTATTTCCATAGTGACGTTTGGATAGAGAAAACCCTATGTTAAACCGCCAGTTACAGCCTTTCAGCACCCAAATCGGCTTCCCACTTTATGTTCTAAACATTACATTCCTCTGCCACATACAATTATGGATAAGGGGTCATATGGCCCTCTGCCTCTCAGCTGGGGACTGCTGACAATTCTCAGGTCCAAGGCAGCATAACATATTAAAACAATTGAAATATAACAAATACAAATACATTTAGAAGCTGACTACAAACAACTTGTGTACCATATCTCAGTTCATTAGAGGTGAATATGTGTTATTGATGCATATTGTACATATGGCTGCTACGGAACATCGCAGGACAACAGGTCTGTGGGCTACAAATTTGATAATAATGAAACAGTTACTGCATAAAAAGAATATATCCAGTCAAAGTGCATATCCTAATCAAATGACTTATATACATTAATCACGAAATAATGTTCCTTGTAACCATGTTCGTTTATAGAATAGTTACATTCACTATATATACAATAACAAAAAATGTATTTACAAAACGTAAGGTATACAAATTCAAGTGGACTCCCCTATTCCCGGGGAAAAGTACATTGCAAATCATCTAGATCCCGAGGGTGACAATCGAATGGAGGAGGGCACATGCCCCAACTGTTTTATCAAACCCTGTGTAGCCACCATCAACGGAACATCCAGATGGATGGGACTAAGGGTGAAACGATACACCGATATTCCGATGCATCGCGATACTTGACCCACGATACGATATACGATAAACGTGGGCCCATTTATCGATACGCCACGATACGGAACGCAAATCTCAAGTACAGCGTTTCCTCGGTATTGTGCCTTTCAATAAACCGCTAACTTGGTTATAGCGCGCGCTAACGCATGGCTCCCAAAAACGTACTTACATTTTTAATAAGCTCAGGTTTTACACCGACAGATGTTTTTCCCCATCTCATAAAACATTATCAGCTGATCACCGCAAGCACATAACACCGAAAATACCAGTCAGCAAATCCGAACTGAAGTACGCAATTCAATACCATTATTATACTATCTTGTTATTAAAACGTGTTCATTGTATATCTGGACTTGTGTTTGTAATATATTTTATTAATTTTACTCAAAATTTCATTTAATATTGTTTTCATTAAGTTATGTGAAATTGTGTGTGAAGAGATACAGCAACCATGGTCAGATTACCGCTTTTGACGCATTAAAACGAACTTTAGTTGCTAGAGAATGGATACATATATCAAAAATGCCATACTTCGACTCGTTAAAAGTAATATTTGTGGCAATTTGGCTAATATATGTCAACATAACGTTATCGCAATCGAAATACATGTAGCACGGGAAGTCCCTAGGGTGACTGGTCAAATTGTTCCATACGTTAAAATATCCTGCAACAGCAATCACCAGTACCAAAATGCTACACTTGTGGTTCTTATAATTATATATATAATTATATAGTAAAAGCTGCAACTAAGGTAACACGATATTGGAATAAATTATTCCTGATAAAACAATAATTTCAGATACAATTTCTTCGACCATTGCACCAAAATTCTTTGAAGTTGTATCACTGGTGGAGTACATTAATTATTTTCTGGTGTTTGAACTTTGAATTGTTTTGAAGGAAAGTTGAACAACTTCAGTAGTCTTGTTATTATAAAATAATTTTGACTGTTCCAAAATCATGAAAGGTTCAATCTTTACATGCTTTTAGTCTTTTTTTTTTTTTATCATTGCGTATCGAGATACGTATCGTATCGTGACCAGAATATCGAGATGCGTATCGTATCGTGACCTTCCTGTATCGTTGCAGCCCTAGATGGGACATGCGCTCCCTCCAAGCCCTAATAACTGCACCATCAGAAGAGCTCTCTACTATAATTTTTTGAAAATAATTGACAACTGTAACGGGTGGTAAATACCAGAATATGTTCAAAAGAAGATCAGACTGGGTGATGAACAAATAATGCCGGAATGTGTGTGGACACTTGTGCGAACAAAATACCCAAATGGTATAAATGAGCCATATATGGGACACAAGTGGTGGCGAACTGACTTTGTTATTTTTCTCTTTGTATATATATATTATCATTGATATTCTTTTAGACTAACATTTAGTCTCTGAAATCTTATATTACACAAAATCCTTCTTGACTCTAAAAATAAAAAAAATTCCCTATGCTGATTTCAGAATAGAGCTAGCTTGAGCTGGCTAGACTTGCTTTTGTATGCATTTCTAGATTATTATTTTTTCATGAAATAAATATATTCCACAGTCATGGTGCAGGACTAATATTCTTTCAAAAACTGCAATTAATTTCTTTGGTGAAAATCAAAATTTTGTAAAGCATAACACAGTAATGAAACTCTTGGCATCATGTAACTGACAATGGCAATACAGTATCCTTATCAGACAAGTGATTGTGTTTTGTTTACATAAAGAGTGTAATTGCTCCTAAGAGGTCAAATGTGTGACTTGTGCTGTGTCTCAAAGTTGACAGGCCTTCCGTTCCCTCCTGGAGGAAAAAGTGGCGGTTTAAAGGGAAGACATATAGTTCCCGAGTGAGTGAGTTAAAAGTTAACGAGAGAGGTTGTAGATCGAAATGATTTACCAACAATTTTACAGGTTGGGAGTTATGCAGAAGAAGCATATGATGTGACTGTAATTCCCTTGACTTTACTACTAAGATAATCTAGTTTACCCTTTCTTTACCAATGTGTTGTATTTAACTTAGATTTTATGGTAATGTTGCAGCCACGTTTCTTATTTCGTTTCCGATGAAACTTTGATCATTGGTAACATTACATAACATTTGCAAAGGACGGGCATACAAAAGAACTACACAAAGGTCAAACTACTGATCATATGAATCATATTATATATAGTAGCTTCACGCGATGTATGCTCAGTTGCTTTATAAGATTATTTGATGAGAAACAAATGCATTATAACACAAGAACATACTGATATATATCTTTACTATCTATATGGCTACTTTACCTATTTGACACGCTTGATGATAAAATAGTTGGAACTAATTGAAGATGATATTGTATAATATAAATGCATTCCCAGCCGGAAGTAAAGAACGTGTCGTCTGTTACAAACAGCTTGCAGATTAATTATCCAGCCGTCCTCGTCTTTATCAGTTAGGAGGTGGGAGATTTGTTCATGTGAACCTTCACTGAAGGGATTTGTTCCGGGGCCGCGCTGCAGTTTATTTGGAGATGTCGTATCAGATTACAAAAGTGCTGTCATCATTTGGCCTTGACGTGTTGACGGGAGAATGGCGTTGAGCAGGCGGCGGAGAGGGGTTCTTATTTAAGATGACCCAGACTGGAGAAATAGAATAAAAACGCATAATTGAATTCAATAGAAAAACACTGGAACATGCATGCTGAAACAGAACAGTGAACTAAAATGTACCTAAATATAGGTGGCTGGAGGGGTTGGTGCAGCGTTCGAAATACCTGCCTGCCCGACCGTCCGAGACTGGTTGATTTTAACCCGTACTGTCAGATTTTCAAATCCCCCTGCCCGACGGTCGGGTTTTATTTTATAGGTGAAAATATTCTAAATAATTCCCGATGATAAGCATTAATTCGATGCGCTTATGCTACAAGCAATCAGTTTTGATATTTTTAATTAAACTATCCTGAGAAACAAATGATTATAGTGGGCAGGCAGGTTTTGGTCAGGGCTGGCAAGTATTTCTGCTAGCCAGTCCTGTGGTCTGGCTGAAATTTTTGGGAGTTTCATACCCTGGTTGGTGGTGGGGAAATTAAAGGAAACATTATTCAGGAGCTCTTAACTGTTTGGACAATATTTTAAAAGAGTTCAATTTAACTATAAACCCCCAAAGTATAGACTTTCTTGGTCAAACTCCTCTCACGGTATTTACTTTCGAAACAAGAATATTATATGAACAGGGTGTTATATACTACCTAGTATGCACTAGACAAATAATGTAACATGTGAATAAGTATAAGATATGTGAATAAGTACTATAATAAGACACAAAAATGTTATCAATGCTTTGGGAAAAGCCTGTGTAAGTCTATGTCTCCTGACCCCGGGTTCCATCAGATAAGGGACAGTCTCGCCACAACACAGCTGTTGCTGAAAGGGGATATAAACAATAACACAGAGATGTGGGTCAGCTCACTGGCACTTTTTACTGGCACATGTGCCGATCAGTGGCATGAGCCTTCCCCATATGGACGTGCGCCTCCAAGATGGCGGCACTTTGGTTTCTGGGGGAGGGGCGTGTGCGCCTCCAAGATGGCGGCACGTTCGGTTGCGAGGGGGCATCTCCCCATCCAAGATGGTGGCTCGGCACATCCAAGATGGCGGTGGCGGGAAGGAGGAAGGAGGGAAGGAGGGAGGTGGGAGGTGGGAGGTGGGAGGAGGGTTCTTTGTTTTGGTTTGGTGGTGGAGGTGGTGGAGATGGTGGAGGTGGAGGGTAGTCAAAGCAAGGATGAAAGCGATCTTTCGGGAGAGATGGGTGGTCCTGAAAAGGGCCGTTTGGAGGAAGATGATGAAAAAACAGGAACCGGAAAACGGGAAACAGGAACGGGAAACAGGAACGGGAAACGGAAACGTCATCCTAGCTTTCTAGGGCCGTGGCACTCAGCCATAGTAACAGCATGGTGGCCAACGACCAAAGTAGCTACAGTTTGGGCATGGCGTCTCCTGTGATGAACCTGTGGGAACCGGAGCGCTCTGACAAGCAGCCTTGGGGATCCGTTGGCGCCGGGGAGTCTTTTCTCCTCCTCCTTCTCCGGGAAATGTAGCTGGTGTGTATCCTCCAGTCGAGGAGACTTGCCGGGATGTGTACATGGTTCGTCGAATAGGTTCACAATGGGGATGATTCACAAGTGACACTGACTCCACTCGAGAGATCCCTTTTTATAGGAGAGGGACCGGATCGAACATCGCTGCACACTGATTGACCCGACACGCTGCACGCTGATTGGTCCAAAACGTGGCGCGCTGATTGTTCCGTTCCGCCGCCCGGCCTGTGTCTCGACTTTTCCAAAACGGACAGACCCTTGTGTTTCTTTTCCATAGGAAATCAATTTTACCATGGGAAATAAAGCACATCCGATTGGTCAGATGTTTCGACCAATCAGATAAATAGACCTTCTTGTTTGTCTATATAGAGGAGGGCAGACGTTCATCAGGCACTCACAGCCATCATGACTGGCAAACAGAGTACACCGTATCGTTTGGAGAAGGCAGAGATGTCTCGATCCAGACGGTTAAGAAGCGCTAACCATACTTATTGTTTGACATTGAACCCAGACTACTTGGAAACCGTACCACCAGACCGCCTGCCCATAGAGCTACCACCTTTATTTGACACGGTGATTGAGGACTTCTATCAACAGATGTCAGGCCAAAAGGGGGATCGTATTGGTCTAGGTATCTGACACCCCCATTTGGACACCTACATACTGATTCCATTTCGCCGCTTTGAAGATCTCCATGGCCTAGATATCTTGCATGCCGTGGAAAAAGTCCAACAGTCCAACCAAGACCTTGCCATCGATGCCATGGTTAGGACCTTAGTACACGTAGCAGATCCTGATGGGCTAGGATCAGGCAGTGGCTGACGTCTGAATAACGTGCTTGGAGTGAAATCATTTTTAGAACTCAAAAGGTGCATTGTACAGATCATGAACGAAGATCAATCCTGTTTGGGAATAGCCATTGTGGTGGCACAGCATTATGTCCAGAAGCCCAACCCTCCGACTAAAGTATGGTCCTACCAGAGAAATAAACTGATGAGAACAAATCGAGCCGACTTTCAAGGCAAACGGGCACAGGCATTGTTTCGGCACCTTGGCATTCCTGAAGGCCCCTGTCAGGGCCTGGACGACCTAGAACGCGTGGGACGTGCCTTGGCCCAAATCAACTATCAACTGAAAGTCTACAGTAAAGATGTGTTCAACAGTCTGTTGTACAAGTGTGAAGAGGCTCCATCCGACGCCACCGTGCTGCATTTATACCATCATCATGACCACTACGATGTGATCACTTCCATGGGTCTAATCATTACTGCGAACTCTGCGACCGCAGTTATGATCATCCCCCAAAACACCCCTGCTGCAAGCAATACCGTTGCCACCGCTGCCTCCACTCCACCACTTGCGGACAAAAGGAAGATCATGGGATGTCAAGGATGGTTCCAAAATCAACACTGTTACACCTGACATCTCCAGTCAGAGGGAGGACCCAGCGCCTGTCAATCGATTCACAGGTGCCCAACCTGTTTTCAGCTTGTCCGCGTCTTGGAGTCACCCATGACTCATCACAAGTGCTCAGATTAGCGAGCTCAAGGCTTAGTGTGTCAAGAACCCGTGACCCCAGACCATCGATTCTACGTCGCTCCCCTCCGTGAAGCCAATGATGCAGAGGAGGAGGAGGAGGAGGAGGAGGGATGTTACAACCAAGTCCATGAGATAATATAACCATCAGCTGACATGTACGATCACGATGGCATGTCTCCCATGGAACGCACCGCCTTCCTCCAGTGGCATACCAAGAAAGTTCAAGAAGGAGCCTTGTTTGACTTGCAAGAAGAACTCTTAGCCTACTGCCAGAGCGATGTCGATATTTTGAGACGTGGATGCGCTGCCTTCCGACAGGAGTTCATGATGGACTGCGGCGTGGATCCCTTTGTAGAGCTGGTGACACTCCCTGTGCTCTGCGTGAAAATCTTCAATAAATGCTTTCTGAAATTCAAAACCATAGCCATCATCCCACCTTAAGGCTACCAACCCAAGAGAAGATATTCCCAGGCCTGTATGAACTGGTTATGTTATCTCATGGAGACCAACCCCGATCTGCACATCCAGCATGCCAAGAATGGGGGTGAAGAGACGTTCACGTGCTGAGAGGGTAAACATCGTTACAGTGTGGATGGCTACAATCCAGCACCGTCTATGAATTCATGGGCTGTTTCTGGCATGGGTGCCACTTCTGTTACAAGACCAAACGTGGAGAACCTCATGCCGTCCTGGGCTTGTCGATGGGAGCACATTATAACGACACCCACTATCGCCTGGACCTCTTGAAGCAACACCCTGATGTGAAGCGTATCATCACCCTGTGGGAATGCGACTTTAAAGCCCAGCAACAGTAAGACCCAGCTTTGTGCGCTATCTTGCAGGGACACTGCTGTACCAACCTACCTCCCCCGCTAAACCCTCGCGACCCCTTCTATGGAGGATGAACCAATGCCACCTGAATATGCTACGAGGCCCAAGAAGGTGAAACCATCAAGTATATCGATATCTGTTCGCTTTATCCCTACATTTGCAAGACCGGAGAGTTTCCCACGGGACACCCGACCATTCTCCAGCAACCCCCTGTGGAGAAGTTGTTTGATCTGAAAGGTCTTATCCAATGTTGTGTCCTACCCCCGACACAGCTCTACCATCCGCTACTGCCCTACAGATCGGGTGGAAAACTGTCCACTCCTTTGTGCCGTAACCTGGTCAGAGACGCCCTGCGAGCACACGGACGAAGCGAGGGCCTGGGTGGGCACGTACACCACGGTAGAACTCCATAAAGCCGTGGAGAAGTATGGCTGTGACTCAACTGAAAGAAGGTCAGTGGGTTCGCCTGCTTTTATGAAAGTCTCCTCTCCTCATCTGATAGGATCGGCACATACACGATGGGCATCTTGGATCTCGAAAATAGGCTGGCACCTACGCGATGGTCTTGCAATGTAGTGGGCTTCAAGTCCAAGAACAGGTAAGTGTAAGGCTCTCGGGTGGCGTCTTCATAGGCTTCACGCAGAAAAGGAACTTTGCCCGGAAACACGTGGCGAGTCGGACTGTCGATCTGCGATGCATCACTCGGATTTTTATAGGGGACCATGTAGTGAGCATTCAGACTAATGGTGTGATGTTTTGGGTGATTGGGCAAACAAGTTCTGAGTGAGATACAGCACAGATGTGTTTCGGTGATGATTTTTCTTGGTGTATCATCGCAACACTTCCGTTTCTTCTTTCATATTGTTGCCCAGCAAATCATCGATGACCAGCCAATACCAAAAGGCCACACCTTTTTCAGGCAAGGCACGACCGGCTTCTTAAATGCTGTGCCCAAACTCAAAAGCGACCCCTAAGCGGTCTGCCATTACTTCCAGCTCATGATGAAGCGGTTGCCATTCGCTGTACACCCACACGATGTGATGGGGTGGCGTATCCAACACCTCGGGGCGATGCATCTGCTCCATACATGATTTCACAAAGGAACTTTTTCCTGATCCCGTGGGTCCCGCAACGAACATCATAAAAGGATGGCGTAGGGTCAAAGGGGAGGTCATGACCTCTTCCTTCTCACCATGTGACGTCATCCTCCTGTGTTCGGGGGGTGACTGACACAAGGCAACTGAGCCTTGCAAGCATGGGCTGACTCTTTTTTTTCAACGAGCATGTGCACAGACATGCCAGACAGACAGATGCACAGACAGACAGACAACGTACATGACATCTCAACTCAGCCTCTACCCTCGGTTTGGCACCCTATCTGAGATGAGATCAATCAAGACGCAAAGAGTCAGT